ATGTTAAGTAATTTGCAGTAAGTAGTGCCCCCAGTATTGGGATTTTTGAGCTAATGGGCAGCAGTCAGCCGGGGGCTTCTGAGGGATACTCATCTTTAACAGTCTCCCTCATGTACTTTTGCTGTTTTACACGGAGAAACAGGTGGACCCCACAGAGGAGAAGGAGGGGACTCAACAGCTTTATTGTCTGGAAGCAGTGAGATTTGGTGATTGTCTGGGGGGATTCCTGGGTTTCCCTGGGTACCTTGTTCAAGGCAGTCAGTCCATTTGCCTTCCTAGTACTTAGCCCCCTCTGACAATTTTTTTTTTTTTATGTGCCTTTTGGGTTGGTAGAAACTGAAGCAGAAGTAGGCTGGAGGATGAGTTGGGACAGTCTTCTTCCTTTTGTTGGGAGGTGAGCACACTTACAGATACTTCAGATTATTTTGCTTCATAGTTTCCATGCCCTCTGCCCAGCTCAGTTTAAACAGTAAACGTTCCTTGTTTCTTTTCTCCTATGACACTGACAAGAGGAATTACCACCTCAGCCTCTTTTGCCCCTCTTCTTGCCTTTCACCCAGGCTCTCAGCCCCAATTAACACACTGACCCAAAGGGGCTTGTATTGCAGGTCCCATCTCCTTTGATGAGGTTAACAATTCCCTCTTCGGCATTTTCCTAACTATTCCTGTGGCTAGAATTGGTTGGTTGGTCACTTGACAAGAAAAACCATACTTATCTGGACCAGGGCTCTGTGTTCCTGCCTTCTCAAATTCTCAGAAAAGTGTTAAGTTTATGAAAAGAAAGTGGCAGGCAAGCGCACTCTTGACTGCCCTCCCACCCTCCTACCTGTTCAGTGCTCCTTGTCTGATTCAGAAGCATCACTTCTTGTATAACTGGCACTGGAAAAACGAAATCATCTGTGTAAGTGAAGGGACTCATTTTTCTTTGCTTTCAGCCCATGTAAATAAATAATACAGTATTAACATTTTTGTGCTGCTTCCCATTAGCTTGTAGATTGAGCCATACTCTGGCTGCCTCTTTACCTTCCTCGGGGCATTTTCTTTAACTTCCAGAATAGTGATTTTAAAACTTAAAAAAAAACAAAATAACCTATCCTTACTTACAAGCATAACAGATTGTATTTAACTTTATCACATATGATAGAGATATATATGCTGTAAAATGAGGGAAAGGAACTTTCTAATAAACCAATGATTTGTGGAAACTTAGCAGAGTCTGTCGTAATTTTTGCCCCATCCACTCAAAGTTGGGTAGGGTTGGAGGTGTGGGTTATAAATAACATCTTGTTTGCCGGGTGCGGTGGCTCAAGCCTGTAATCCCAGCACTTTGGGAGGCCGAGACGGGTGGATCACGAGGTCAGGAGATCAAGACCTTCCTGGCTAACACTGTGAAACCCCGTCTCTACTAAAAAAATACAAAAAACTAGCCGGGCGAAGTGGCGGGCGCCTGTCATCCCAGCTACTCGGGAGGCTGAGGCAGGAGAATGGCGTAAACCCGGGAGGCGGAGCTTGCAGTGAGCTGAGATCCGGCCACTGCACTCCAGCCTGGGCAACAGAGCGAGACTCCGTCTCAAAAAAAATAAAAATAAAAATAAATAAATAACATCTTGTTTGAAGTGACCAAGGAATAGATTCCTGTGAACCAGTATGAGATGTTTGCAGTTGTGCTTCTGAAAGCTCAGGCTATGCAAAGAGAGGAAAGATGATGGTGTGGGAGGAGGTAATAGTAGTTAATTTCTCTCAGTTGTAGGTAGATGTATTGGAATGTATGCCTCCTTTCCACTTCCTCTTTCCCACAAGAGGAAAGATTTCCTTCCATTTTAGGTATATAATCTGTGTGTAGTAGAATATATGGTGTATATCTAGGTGCCTACTAAATGGGTGTGGAATTTCTGGCTTTGAATTTTAGGATTTTGGACTACTTTAAGGGCACTAAGATGACAAGAATCATCTGCCGGACTTTCATCCTCCAGGTGGAGTTCTTTGTGCCAGTCTTCAGTTACTCTCCTAGCCCTTTAATACCACTACAATGTTTGAGCACCTCTACTTGGTATAAGGAAATATGGCTTAATTGTTACTGAGAAGATAAAACCCCTACTCTTCCATATCAAAAAATCACAAAAGAGGCAGGGAAAATTTAGCATCGAAAGCTACCATAGAGTTATAGTGATAAATTAGTTTTCCCTCTCAACCTCAGCCTTTCAAGAAGAAAAGGCTTTCTTTCCTACTCTCTTTTGATACATTTCTTTCCTACTCTTTGATACATCTGTGTTCTCCCTTTGATTAAAGAGAAGCTATTCAACTTGAACCTGGGTTTGAGTGCTCAGATCTGCCTATATTCCTAAAATAGCAAAGATCCTTACCCAGAAAGAAATGACCACCTTGGCCTGAAACATGAAAGTACTCCCTCTTCACCCTTGATGACTAATTCAGGCCTCGTCAGCCATTTCCATTCTTACTTGCCAAAGACAGCTTCACTCACTTCTACCAACTCATATCTCAATTATTGCAGCATTTTCCTCGGTGGCCTTCCTGACTAGAACCTAATTCCCTGTTCTGTGTAAGCTTACTGGCTTTTCAGAATCTGAATGCAACTCATTCTGTATTCACTGCTTCCCAGTAAAACTGTGATCTCTGAGAGAACAGGGAGTGATTCTTATATCCCCCCCGCAGCACTCAGTGTATCTCGTGCTTAATACATGGTAAACATTTTGATTATATGTTCAAGAATATGAGCAAAGTGGCCAGGTGCAATGGCTCATGCCTATAATCCCAGCACTTTGGGAGGCCAAGGCGGGAGGATCTCTTGAGCTCAGGAATTCGAGGTCAACCTGGGTAACATAGCAAGACCCCATCTCTACAAAAAAAACTAAAAATTAGCTGGGCGTGGTGGCACAAGCCTGTGGTCTCAGCTATTCATGAGGCTGATGTGGGAGGATTGCTTGAGCCCAGGGGTCAAGTCTGTAGTGAGCCATGATCAGGTCACTGCACTGCAGCCTGGGTGACAGAGCGAGACCCTGTCTCAAAAATAAAAAGAATATGAGCCAAGTACAACACCATTAACTGAGGATTGTGCATCAGAATTGAGCCAAAAAAAAAGTTCAAAAATGCATTTTTTGGTTTGTGGTTTGTGTGTTTTTTTTGAGATGGAGTTTCACTCTTGTTGCCCAGGCTGAAGTGGGATGGCGCAATTGTGGCTGACCGCAACCTCCATCTCCTGGGTTCAAGCAATTCTCCTTCTCGGCCTCCCAAGCAGCTGAGATTATAGGTGTGCACCACCACGCCCAGCTAATTTTTGTATTTTTAGTAGAGACAGGATTTCGCCATGTTGGCCAGGCTGGTCTCGAACTCCTGGCCTCAAGCAATCTGCCCACTTTGGCCTCCCAAAGTGTTGGGATTACAGCTGTAAGCCACCATGCCCAGCAAAAAATAAAAATAAATAAATTGTTTTTAAGGCATAGTCTTTCTCTTGCCCAGGCTGGAGTGGAGTGGCAAAATCATAGCTCACTGTAACCTAAAATTCCTGGGCTCGAGTGATTCTCCTGCCTCAGCCTCCTCAGTAGCTGGAACTACAGGTGTGCACTACCATGCCTGGCTAATTTTAATTTTTCTGTAGACACAGGGTCTCACTATGTTGCCCAGGCTGGTCCCAAACACCTGGCTTCAAGCAATCCTCACTTTGGCCTCCCAAAGTGCTGGGATTACAGGCGTGAGCCACCACACCTGGCCTAAAAATCTTTATAATTTTCTTTTCCTCTCTTTTTTTTTTTTTTTTTTTTTTTTTTTTTTGACAGAGTCTCACTCTGTCGCCCAGGCTGGAGTGCAGTGGCATGATCTCGACTCACTGCCACCTCTGCTTCACAGGCTCAAGCAATTCTCTTGCCTCAGCCTCCCAAGTAGCTGGGATTACAGGCATGCACCACCACGCCCAGCTAATTTTTGTATTTTTAGTAGAGACGGGGTTTCACTATATTGGCCAGGCTGGTCTCGAACTCCTGATCCACCCACTCGGCCTCCCAGAGTGCTGGGATTACAGGCATGAGCCACCGTGCCTGGCTAAAATCTTTATGATTTTCCATCTCCCATGGATTAAAGTTCAGATTCCTTAATACAGTATTCAAGGACCTTCAGTAATTAGAACCCCCAAGCTTTCCTTTCCCACCTTGCACCTCAGTCCACCCCTTTAAGCACTCTGCTATGCTGAGTCAACTACTTGTCCTTCCCCACCTCTGTGTTCCTTTGCTGCTCTCATGTATTCTCTATGCCTAAAAACCCTTTCATTCTCTAACAAAAGGCAACTTGAACATGAGTTCAAGTGCAACCCATGTTTGAATCTTAGTTTTGCCATTCGTTGGCTGTGTAAATGTGGGCAATTCACCTAAAACTCTTGTGCCGCAGTTTTGTGTTTATAAAATGGGCATTAATAGTACTTATTTCCTAGGGTTGTTATGAGGAACAATGATAGATGACTTTGGTAATCTGTATATTTTTCAAGGTATGCTTTACTGTCTCTGCTGCGGTTATGTGTGTTCATGTCTTTTTTTTTTTTTTTTTTTTTTTTGAGACAGAGTGTCGCTCTGTCGCCCAGGCTGGAGTGCAGTGGCCGGATCTCAGCTCACTGCAAGCTCCACCTCCCGGGTTCACGCCATTCTCCTGCCTCAGCCTCCTGAGGAGCTGGGACTACAGGCGCCCGCCACCTCGCCCGGCTAGTTTTTTGTATTTTTAGTAGAGACGGGGTTTCACCATGTTAGCCAGGATGGTCTCGATCTCCTGACCTCGTGATCCGCCCGTCTCGGCCTCCCAAAGTGCTGGGATTACAGGCTTGAGCCACCGTGCCCAGCCGTGTGTTCATGTCTTAACTCTTTCTGGGCTGTTTGTTAAGGCTCCTTGATGGCTATCTTTGGAGTTTTTAAAATATTTTATTTTTTATAGTTTTAAAATAGAGATGAGGTCTCACTGTATTGCCTAGGCTAGTCTCAAATACCTGAGCTCAAGCCATCCTCCTTCCTCAGCCTCCCAAAGTGCTGGGATTACAGGTGTGAGCCACTGTATCTGGCCTGATGGTTATCTTTGTATCCTTTATCAACACAGTGCTTTGAACAGAGTAAATACTTATTGAAAACTTGAGTGAAATGTGACTTAATATTTGGCCTCACAGAATACACCAGTAATACAGCACTCACTCACCTGAGGACAGTGGGAGAATAGAAGGTAAGTAGAAGACTGGGTTAAGTATTCATTCTAGCAAATACATTAATCACATGCCTCCCGTGTACTTGACACTGGGAATTCAGCAATGAAGAAGGCTCAGACCAAAGTCTAGGCTTTTAGCTTCCTGTCCTATAAAGGATAAGATTCTTAGCTCTATGCTGAGGTAGTAAATTATGAGGGGACTTCAAAATGGCACAGGGTGGTTGAGCAGGATACAGCAATGGTTAAGTTTGGTCGGAAAATAGAAATCAAAAGGAAAATGTGGCTATGGTTACCCCTAGCAAACCTCTTGAATCTCCTTCCTGAGAACCTGCTTTTTTGGGAAGGCACGAGTGCCAGTAAGACTTGGCACTCCTCCTCTTCCGCTTACCCAGAGAAAATGACAGCCTTTCTGCTCAAAACTCATCCCTTCACTTTGTCACCCTATATTTGCATCTTCCATCCTTAGTGTGTGTTTCCGTCCAGTCGTTCGGCAATACACGTACTACATGTTGGACTCTTGGGTAGTCTCTAGGGCTGTAGCAAGGAGCCTTGCTCCCAAGGGACTCATTTACATAATCCTGTGAACAGACCATGAGTAAACAGTGTGCTCAATACTGTGCCTATGTGTGTTAGCCCATGCGGCCAGCCTGAGGAGTCAGGGAAGGCTCCCCTAGGCAAAGACCCCAACCAGAATCAAGTCTTAATGGTTAGACAAGAGCTCCGTCACCCAAAAAGGATTGAGGGCCTACCTTCAACTGAACAGCTAATGCATAATCTCAGAACCTGTGAGTCAAAATTCCCTGGAATAACTCCACTTTATCCCCAATATCCTTGCCACCTAGACCAAGGTCCGTTCACCACCCTGTCCCCAGCACTGACTGCACTGCTGTGGCCACACTAAAACTTGGCTCAAGACAGACAAGTGAGGAAGCTGCTGCGCCAGTATGGCTGGTTGAGGCCGCCCAAGGTCCTAGGAGGAAGCGGGTAAATGCCATATCCAAAAAGACACAGCAGCCTCAGGTTTTATCAGAGGGCAGCAGCTTCCTTCTCCTTCCCCAACCTCTGGCTAAGTCACAAAGCACCACAGCTGTACAACCAGATGGGGGAAGGGAGGAGATTAGAACTGTAGGCTAGAGTAGACAGGTATGGAGCAGTTCACAATCACGGTATCCCAAGCAGAAAGTGATGGTGGCTTGGACTAGCATGGTGGTATTAGAGATGGGGTAAAGATTCAAGAGACATCGTTGATAGGCAGAACCAATAGGACTTGGTAATAAACTATTCTCAGGAAAAGGGAGGACTCATGGCTTTCAGCTATGAGCATCCAGCCATGAGCATGGCCTCACCCACTTCCTGACAATTCTAGCCACCATGAGTCCAGGGGCTATAGCCCTTTGCTCTGCCCATTGCTCAGCAAGTTACTTGGGGTTGCAGTTTGATAAGAAAAGACTTCCTGTGGAGGAATCTGAAGGGAAGAAGGAGGAGCTGGTCCATTCCTGCCTGGGAGGTTGTGGAAGAAGGAAGATGGCCAGAGCTTTGTGTCCACTGCAAGCCCTCTGGCTTCTGGAGTGGGTGCTGCTGCTCTTGGGACCTTGTGCTGCCCCTCCAGCCTGGGCCTTGAACCTGGACCCAGTGCATCTCACCTTCTATGCAGGCCCCAATGGCAGCCACTTTGGGTTTTCACTGGACTTCCACAAGGACAGCCATGGGAGGTGAGCTATGAGGGAAGTTTGGGTATTGGGAAAGAGCAGGACCCCTCCCCATCACTGCTTCTGGGGGCTTCAAGTTTCCCATTTGTTATGGCAGTTGAGCAAGGTGACTTGTGGGGCCTATTCAGGTTGATTTCTTGTCAAGAATGCTGAGGTCTGGGGGACTGGCTCAGGTGAAGGTGTAAGGGCAGGGCACAGGTGTGGGTGATGGGCACTGAAACTATAGCAAGAACCAAGGGAAGACAAGAGTTGATGCTTTATTTTTTCCCCAAGGGTCAGTTGTATGAACCACACCACCCTCAACACCTTGAAATGTGGAGAGGAGGCTGGGCATGGTGACTCACGCCTGTAATCCCAGCATTTTGGGAGGCCAAGGCGGGTGGATCACCTGAGGTCGAGAGTTCAAGACCAGCCTGACCAACATGGAGAGACCTCGTCTCTACTAAAAAAAGAAAAAAAAAAAAATTAGCTGGGCATGGTGGCGCATTCCTGTAATCCCAGTTGCTCGGGAGGCTGAGGCAGGAGAATCATTTGAACCTGAGAGGCAGAGGTTGTGGTGAGCTGAGATCACGCCATTGCACTCCAGCCTAGGCGAAACTCTGTCTCAAAAAAAAGAAAGAAAGAAAGAAATGTGGAGAGGAGCACATGTCCTAAAATTGATTTGCAGAACTAAAGTTGTCTACCCTCCCCAATCTTGCATTTCTATTCCATTTCCCTCATCTCCACCAACATTATAAATTTTTGAAAAGAAGCAATAGGTCATTAATGGTTAGTATTGATCAGGCTTCAGAATCAAGAGTGCCCAAGATTAGAGTCTTGGCTCCTCTTCATAGTGTGTACCCTGAGCTACTTACCGTGAGAGACACAGTGCCCACCAGCTTCAGGGGGTGGCAATGGGTGGCAATGGCAGATAGCCTTCAAGTGTCAGCCACTTAGGGGATTTCCCTAAGTGGGAAGTCCCTGCTGAAGACAGCCAGTTCACTCAAAGTCCCCTCCCAAGGTGGCCCACATCCAGTGACTGAACAATGAGAAGTGGGCGAGTGGGGAGAGTGGAGGCGGGGGGTGGGGAGGCATTTGATAAGGGTCCAGCCCTCTTTCCCTCTTTCATCAACTCTAACAATTCTTTTTTTTTCTTTTCTTTTTTTTTTTTTTTTTTTTTTTGAGACGGGGTTTGGCTCTTGTTGCCCAGGCTGGAGTACGATAGTGCAATCTCCGGCTCACCACAACCTCCACCTTCCAGGTTCAAGCGATTCTCTTGCCTCAGCCTCCCGAGTAGCTGGGATTACAGGCATGTGCCACCACACCCGGTTAATTTTGTATTTTTAGTAGAGATGGGGTTTCTGTCAGGGTAGTCTCGAACTCCCAACCTCAGGTGATCCGCCTGCCTTGGCCTCCCAAAGTGCTGGGATTACAGGCATGAGCCACCACGCCGGGCCTTTTTTTTCTTGTTTTCTTTTGAGACAGAATTTTGCTCTTGTTGCCCAGGCTGGAGTGCAATGGCATGATCCCAGCTCACTGCAACCTCCGCCTCCTGGGTTCAAACGATTTTCCTGTCTCAGCCTCCCGAGTAGCTGGGATTACAGGTGCATGCCACCATGCCTGGCTAATTTTTGTATTTTTAGTAGAGACGGGGTTTCACTATGTTAGCCAGGCTGGTCTCGAACTCCTGACCTCAGGTGATTCGCCCGCCTCAGCCTCCCAAAGTGCTGGGATTACAGGTGTGAGCCACCGCGCCCGGCCAACTCTGACAATTTTGAAAGGTCATTCTAGCTCCAGAGCTTGTGGGTGTTGGCGAATGCTGTCATTGGGCCTGAATCAGCTCAACTCCTTCCTGTGCCCACTCCTGCTTATCTCCCCTCCTATAAGTAGTGATCCCATTGGCACTACTTAAACATTCTGCGGTTAAAAAAAATTATAGACCAGACACAGAGGCTCACGCCTGTAATCCCTTAGCCTCCCAAAGTGCTGGGATTACAGGTGTGAGCCACCATGACTGGCCTATAAAAAAATGTTTTTTGGCCGGGCGCGGTGGCTCAAGCCTGTAATCCCAGCACTTTGGGAGGCCGAGACGGGTGGATCACGAGGTCAGGAGATCGAGACCATCCTGGCTAACACGGTGAAACCCCGTCTCTACTAAAAAATACAAAAAACTAGCCGGGTGAGGTGGCAGGCGCCTGTAGTCCCAGCTACTAGGGAGGCTGAGGCAGGAGAATGACTTTAACCTGGGAGGCGGAGCTTGCAGTGAGCTGAGATCCGGCCACTGCATTCCAGCCTGGGCAACAGAGCGAGACTCCGTCTCAAAAAAAAAAAAAAAAAAAAGTTTTTTAATTAGCTAGGCATGGTGTTGCACACCCACAGTTCCAGCTACTCGGGTGGCTGAGGGGAGAGGATTTCTTGAGCCCTGAAGATCAAGGCTACAGTGAGCTGTGATCGTGCTACTGCACTCCAGCTGGGCAACAGAATGAGACCCGGTCTCAAAACAACAAAATTATTTTTTAAAATTATAGCATTGTTTCAAGAGCATTTGTTATGTATTTGGCTGGGACCATGCTAACCATTACTCGTATTTATTACATTTACTCCTGACCGTTTTGATTGGTTGTGAAAAAGTCATTGGTTGTGAAATTGGTATTCCTATTTCACAAATGGCAGAATTGTGATTTAAACCTAGATCTGCTAGGGTCCTCATCTCTATCAGCACACACACTCCAGCCCCACTTCAGAGGTACCTTCTACCTTCCCTCATTAAAACCAGCTCTCAAGAGGGGATCTGGGCCCGGCGCGATGGCTCACGCCTGTAATCCCAGCACTTTGGGGGGCCAAGGCGGGCGGATCACGAGGTCAGAAGATTGAGACCATCCTGGCTAACATGGTGAAACCCCGTCTCTACTAAAAATACAAAAAATTAGCCGGGCGTGGTGGCGGGCGCCTGTAGTCCCAGCTACTCGGGAGGCTGAGGCAGGAGAATGGCGTGAACCCGGGAGGCGGAGCTTGCAGTGAGCCGAGATCGCGCCACTGCACTCCAGCCTGGGCGACAGAGGGAGACTACGAGACTGCATCTCAAAAAAAAAAAAAAAAAAAAAAAAAAGAGGGGATCTGGTAACAGTCAAGACAGGCATTCTAGGGAGCACGTGAACCTCTGGTTCTTGTTATGGGTGGAAGGATGGAGATGTTGTACAGAATTTAGGTCTTTTTCAGCAAAGATCTCAAACCCCTTATAGTCCCAGCTTTACTCTCAACTCACTGGGTTACTTTACGCACGTGATTGCCCGCGCTGAGAGTCAGTTTCACTGTCCATAAGATGAAGTACACCTCGATGGTCTGTGAGGTGTCATTGAGGAAAGATGGTCCGGTGCCCCCATGCCACATCGCCTTCCGGGCAGTGCTCCCAGCGCCGGCGCCAGGGTCTGGGATACGCTGGAATCTGCGTGGCGCTCACCCAGCTTTCCTATGCAGAGTGGCCATCGTGGTGGGCGCCCCACGGACGCTGGGTCCCAGCCAGGAGGAGACGGGCAGCGTGTTCCTGTGCCCCTGGAGGGCCGAGGGCGGCCAGTGCCCCTCGCTACTCTTTGACCTCCGTGAGTCCCAGGCAAGGAGAGCAAGGGTGGGGCCAGAGGGACGTGGACTGCCGGGCTTCAGCGCTCCACCCCTTCTTGTGCCTTCCAGGTGATGAGACCCGAAATGTAGGCTCCCAAACTTTACAAACCTTCAAGGCCCGCCAAGGACTAGGGGCGTCGGTCGTCAGCTGGAGCGACGTCATTGTGGTGGGTCCCGCGGTACAGGGCACCGGGAACAGTCGGGGGCAGGGACACGCGGGGCCGGCAGGAGCTCAAGTCTCGCGCCCTTCCCCACTCTCCTGTGGCCTTTCTCCAGGCCTGCGCCCCCTGGCAGCACTGGAACGTCCTAGAAAAGACCGAGGAGGCTGAGAAGACGCCCGTAGGCAGCTGCTTTTTGGCTCAGCCAGAGAGCGGCCGCCGCGCCGAGTACTCCCCCTGTCGCGGGAACACTCTGAGCCGCATTTACGTGAAAAATAATTTTAGTAAGCGCCCTTGACGACCTGGCCCCGCCCACTCGCTACGACTTAGTCCCGCCCCCATCGGATCCCGCCCCCAGCGCCGCAGCGTTTGCTTTGGATCTGGCCTAGCCCCAGGGCCCAGCCGACTCCAGGCCCCGCCCCTGTAGGATCCCACCAGCCCTCCTCCGGGCGCTCGCGCACCTCCCTCCAGCCCTGCGCTGACCCCTCCTCCTTGTCTCCCGCAGGCTCGGACAAGCGTTACTGTGAAGCGGGCTTCAGCTCCGTGGTCACTCAGGCAAGTAGGGAGCAAAAGCGGACGGGGGCGACCCCCAAACAGGGACCCCTCTCACCCTCAGGGCTTCCCTTCCAGGCCGGGGAGCTGGTGCTTGGGGCTCCTGGAGGCTATTATTTCTTAGGTACGTGCCCATCCGTATACCTCCCTCCCTTCTCGCGGCCCGGGGAGACCCCTGGGGTTTGGGCCCCACACCCGCTGTCCCTCCGGCCCTAGGTCTCCTGGCCCAGGCTCCAATTGCGGATATTTTCTCGAGTTACCGCCCAGGCATCCTTTTGTGGCACGTGTCCTCCCAGAGCCTCTCCTTCGACTCCAGCAACCCAGAGTACTTCGACGGCTACTGGGGTAACACCTCCCTTCCAGACTTCCAGCACCCCAAGGGTCACCGCTCACCGCAGACGGTCAGGTCTTGCCCCTGCGGGAGCCTCCATGCCCACCCCTGCCGGCCGGCCCACCGCCTAAGTCGCTCCCGCCCTCAGCTCCTGCGGCTTCCCCGCAGACCGCCCACCTCCCATGCGCCCACCGCTCCCTTCCACCGCGTACTCGTAGTGCAGTCTGGGGCAGGGCTTGGCCCCTCGAAGGCCTCCGTTTTTCCATCTGCACAAGGCAGAGCTGGGGCTGAGTGGCCTTAATCTCCTCCTTCCTTGCCCTCCGTTCCCTCCCTGCTTCCTCCCCCGGGAAAGACTAATTTGCGCCCGTGTCCTCAGGGTACTCGGTGGCCGTGGGCGAGTTCGACGGGGATCTCAACACTACAGGCAAGAAATCCACTTAGGGCGGGAGTTAGGGAGCCCAGCCCGGGGAGGAGCGCCGTCCTGGAATCTCCCCTGTGTAGGGAGATCTTCCCGCACATAAATCTTCCCTGGGGGCAGAACGGGGAGCGGGAAGTGGGTAGGGTCTAAGGCTCTCATTCCCTGAACCTGGCTCTCCCTTTCGCCAGAGTATGTCGTCGGTGCCCCCACTTGGAGCTGGACGCTGGGAGCGGTAAGTGCCCCCACCAACTGGGCATCCCGAAGCCCCTTATCCCAGTCCTCAGGCTGACAACCCCTGAGCGCCCCCCCCCCCCCCCCCCCGCCACCAAACCGCCCTTTCTCACCTGGAGTGGGAGGCTGCTTTGGGTATAAGAATGATGCTCTCCCCTTCGCTGTCCGTGCAGGTGGAAATTTTGGGCTCCTACTTCCAGAGGCTGCACCGGCTACATGGAGAGCAGGTGGGGGCCAGGTCCCAGTGGGAGTGGCTGGGTGGAGGGGTAACTGAGACTTCAGAATATTTCACGGGAGGTGAGGGCCCATTTCTTAGAGAGGATGCTGGTCCAGCGACCTGAATGATGGTGCTCCTCATCTTGCAGATGGCTTCGTATTTTGGGCATTCAGTGGCTGTCACTGACGTCAACGGGGATGGGTGAGGAGGGGTATGCCCCACCCCTACCCAGTTGGGTCCCAAATTACCAGAGCTGCCCTCTGTCTCTCTTTCCTAGCCCCTCCTCTCACGTTACGTGTTCACCGGGGGAACAGGAGAGCAAGGGTGGGGGAGATTTGGCCCTAGCCCCAACATCCCCCTGGTCCAGTCCCATATAACCACTCATCTGGCCCACAGGAGGCATGACCTGCTGGTGGGCGCTCCACTGTATATGGAGAGCCGGGCAGACCGAAAACTGGCCGAAGTGGGGCGTGTGTATTTGTTCCTGCAGCCGCGAGGCCCCCACACGCTGGGTGCCCCCAGCCTCCTGCTGACTGGCACACAGCTCTATGGGCGATTCGGCTCTGCCATCGCACCCCTGGGCGACCTCGACCAGGATGGCTACAATGGTGAGGGAAGAGAGGAGCCCTACTAGGTGCAGAGGGGTTAACAGACACACAAAAAGCATGGAGTTGGCTTGAGGGCAGCCAGAACGAGGATGGGTTTTAAGCATATAAGTATGTAGCTTAGACACCTGGGGTGCTAAATGGAGAGCAGATGGGAGAGATGAAGGAGACTAATTAGGATGTGTTTGCCTTAATCCGGGCAAGAGACAATGACCACCTGGATGTGGATTTTGGCAGTGGAGTTAGAGATGGGAGTGACTTCACAGATATTTAGGACTTGGATTCTTAGGACTTGGTGGGAGACTGGATGTGGGGCCAGGGGAGAGATTGGAGTTGGGTGCCTGTGATGCCCTCCACTGCCTGGAACTCAGGCCGTGCAGCAGGTGCTGGGGAGAGGTGGGAGATCAGCAGTTTAGCTCTGGACCTGTTGAGCTTGAAGGGCTTGGGTGCTTTAGGCAGAAATATCCAAAGAACAGTGGGAGTGGCTTTCCCCGCTTCCACAAGATCGATCTGAATGGGAGACAGGGGTTTGGGGAAAGTGGATGAGGTCCCGGGACCTGTGAAATTAGAAGAGGCCCAGGATAGAGCCCTGGGGAGCAAAAGCATTTAGGTGACTCATACAGGAGGTGAGTCTGAGGAAGAGACGGAGAAGTGTCCAGAGAGGGAGGAGGGAACCCAGGGGGTGTGATGGCCAGGGACTCAAGGAAGAGCATGTGTTAAAAAGCATGTGCAGGAGGAAGTGGGTGCTGCAGCTCCTGATGCTGCTGCAAGGTACAATTCGATGGGGCTGGAGAAATATCCATGGGCTTTAGCAAGAAGAGGGTGCCGGGCACGATGGCTCATGCCTGTAATCCCAGCTACTTGTGAAATTGAGGCAGGAGAATCTCTGGAACCCAGGAAGTGGAGGTTGCACTGAGCTGAGATCGCGCCACTACTGCACTCCAGCATGGGCAACAGAGCAAGACTCCATGTCAGCGAAAGAAAGAAAGAGAGAAAGAGAAAGAGAGAGAGAGAGAGAAAAGAAAGAAAGAAAGAAAAAGAGGGGAGGAGGTTATTGGTGACAGTGACATAAATTGATTCAGGTCAAGGTAGGGTCAAAAGCCAGAATGCAATTGGGTAAGGTATGAATGGAGGTGAAAAATTGGAGGCAGCTAATGTAAACAGCTCTTTCAACAGGTTTGTGGTAAAAAGGAATTTGAGGAATAGAAAGAAAAAAAAAAGGACATGTTTGACTATGAGAGGAAAAAGAGAAAAGGTGATTATGGAAAAGAGATGAGGGTCAAGGGAAGATTATTTCAATGTGGAAGAACATGGAGTAGGTTGAAAATGATGTTGTGGGGAAATGGGGGGATGAGCCAGCAGAGAGTCCCTGTGATGCCTCAGGGAGTGGGAGGATGACTGGCCCAGTGTCAGGGTAAAGGAGGGAAACCTCTTCCAGGGTCAAATGGGGAAGCGGGAAGAAAGTCAGTATGGGATTATAGCATAACAGTGGGCTGCTTCTCTTCCTGAAGTAAGGGATTATGTCACCTGCTGAAGGAAATGACGGGGCTGGGAGCTTGATGGAATGGAGAGGTTAGAAATAGATGCTAGATGGCCAGGCACGGTGGCTCACACCCGGAATCCCAGCACTTTGGGAGGCCGAGGCAGGAGGATCACTTGAGCCGAAGAGTTTGAGACCAGCCTGGGCAACACAGGGATATCTTGTCTCTATAAAATTTTTTTAAAATTAGCTGGGCATGGTGGTTGTAGTCTCAACTGCTTGGGAAGCTGAGGTGGGAGGATCGCTTTAGCCCAGAAGGTTGAGGCTGCAGTAAGCCATGGTTGCACCACTGCACTCCAGCCTGAATGACAGAGCAAGACTGTCTTAAAAATAAAAAAATGTTAAAAGGTGGCTCACACCTGTAATCCCAGCACTTTGGGAGCCCAAAGTGAGCAGATCACTTGAGGTCAGGAGTTCGAGACCAGCCTGGCCAATGTGGTGAAACCCTGTTTCTACTAAAAATACAAAAATTAGCCGAGCATGGTGGTAGGCGTCTGTAATCCCAGCTACTAGAGAGGCTGAGGCACAAGAATCACTTTAACGGGGGAGGCACAGGTTGCAGTGAGCCGAGATCGCACCACTGCACTCCAGCCTGGACAACAGAGCAAGGCTCTATCTCAAATAATAATAATAATAATAATAAATTTAGAAAAAGGAATAATGATGCTTAATTTTCAGGATATATTTTCCTCAATAGACAGTGAGAGTTGTCACTGTTTTTATAACAATCCTACTTGGCAGGTCCCTCTCCCACCTGATTGTCAACTCCTGGAGGGTAAGGCAGCGCCTCCTTCACCTACCCTTTGTACCCCTTTCCCGGTCTCCTGGGATGTGCCCAGAGAAGCTCAGGAAAGCTTTACAGTCATCTAGGGAGGCTGAATAACAATCAGCCACTCCCTTTCTGTTACTCTTCCAGACATTGCAGTGGCTGCCCCCTACGGGGGTCCCAGTGGCCGGGGCCAAGTGCTGGTGTTCCTGGGTCAGAGTGAGGGGCTGAGTTCACGTCCCTCCCAGGTCCTGGACAGCCCCTTCCCCACAGGCTCTGCCTTTGGCTTCTCCCTTCGAGGTGCTGTAGACATCGATGACAACGGATACCCAGGTGCCCTAGACTGCCTCCAGTTAGAAATGCCCAAGAAAGGCCCTTGGACTTTTGCTGGAAGTGCCGAGAGACACAGCCAGGGGCTCATGGCTGGCCTGGTGTCCCACTGTGGACTGCCAGAGGGGCTGGGTGAAACCTCCAGTGGGGGAGGTGGTGTGGGGAAACCCCTGGGAAGATGAGATGAGGATCCCACGCCCTCTCTAATGGCCAATTCTGACCCCTTCCTCGATGTCTGTAGACCTGATTGTGGGAGCTTACGGGGCCAACCAGGTGGCTGTGTACAGGTAAGCGCTGGCTCCAGGGGCAGGATGGGGAAGGTCCCATGCCATCAGAGGAGGCCAGGCCAGGAGGAGCCACAGTGGCAAGCCTACCCCATCACCCCATCCCATCAGAGCTCAGCCAGTGGTGAAGGCCTCCGTCCAGCTACTGGTACAAGATTCACTGAATCCTGCTGTGAAGAGCTGTGTCCTACCCCAGACCAAGACACCCGTGAGCTGGTGAGGAGGCAGAGGGCATGGGCCTTGAAGGATCTGGGACCTCAGAAAGGCCCCAACCCCTGAGCCCCACTTACGTCTTTGCAGCTTCAAAATCCAGATGTGTGTTGGAGCCACTGGGCACAACATTCCTCAGAAGCTGTGTGAGTGGCATGAAGGGGATAGGAGGGAGATGGGCTTGGACTCCCCCGGAGGCTGGCCAGGGAGGTCCTGACTCTTCTGCTTGCCCTGCCAGCCCTAAATGCCGAGCTGCAGTTGGACCGGCAGAAGCCCCGCCAGGGCCGGCGGGTGCTGCTGCTGGGCTCTCAACAGGCAGGCACCACCCTGAACCTGGATCTGGGCGGAAAGCACAGCCCCATCTGCCACACCACCATGGCCTTCCTTCGAGTACGCCCAGGCAGGGGATTGGCAGGGCTGGGCGAGTAGAACACACCCACTGCACTTGTTCTTCCAGCCCCAGGGTACTGAGCTGGGTGCTGTGAGTCCGGGGGTAGTCAGGACACGGTGCCTACTGGCCAGAAGGTGGGATGTGTATGGCAGCAAGATGGCCTGACTCTTGCCCCCGTCCTAGGATGAGGCAGAATTCCGGGACAAGCTGAGCCCCATTGTGCTCAGCCTCAATGTGTCCCTGCCGCCCACGGAGGCTGGAATGGCCCCTGCTGTCGTGCTGCATGGAGACACCCATGTGCAGGAGCAGGTAGGGACAGGTGTGGATAAGCAAGGGAGGTGCAGGACCCCTGAGAAGTCAAGATTAGAGTTAGTACCAAGATGCAATGTGAACCCCAAAACCTTGATGTGATTCCAAACCGTAATGAAAACCTCAAACTCCGGCCAGTCGAGGTGGCTCACACCTGTAAAAGCCAGCACTTTGGGAGACTGAGGTGGGCGGATTGCCTGAGGTCAGGAGTTGGAGACTGACCTGGCCAACATAGTGAAACCCCATCTCTACTAAAAATACAAAAAAATTAGCTAGGCATGGTGATGCACACCTGTAATTCCAGCTAATTGGGAGGCTGAGGCAGGAGAATCACTTGAACCCGGGAGGCAGAGGTTGCAGTAATTGTGCCACAGCACTCCAGCCTGGGTGACAGAGCGAGACTCTGTCTCAAAAAAAAAAAAAAAAAAGGCCGGGAGCAGTGGCTCATGTCTGTAATGCCAGCACTTTGGGAGGCTGGGAGGCCGAGGTGGGCAGATCACGAGGTCAGGAGATCGAGACCATCCTGGCTAACACGGTGAAACCCCATGTCTACTAAAAATACACACAAAAAAAATTAGCCAGGTGTGGTGGTGGGCGCCCGTAGTCCCAGCTACTCGGGAGGCTGAAGCAGGAGAATGACGTGAACCAGGGAGGTGGAGCTTGCAGTGAGCCAAGATTGTGCCACTGCACTCCAGCCTGGGCGACAGAGCAAGACTCTGTCTCCAAAAAAATAAAATAAACACCTAACAATCCCAGTATCCTCTAAGCTCTAATGTAAATTGATAAACCCTGACATTGTCTCAAACCTCCAAATAAACCCCAGAGCCCCATCTCCAAACTCCTTTTCATCCTCAGATCTTCTTACTCCCTAAGCCCCTATGTGAACCCAAAGCCCACTGTTTTCCTCACCCTGATGTAATCCCCAAACCTCACACGTCCCCAGCTTACCCACACACCCCAATGTGTCCCCCTAGACACGAATCGTCCTGGACTGCGGGGAAGATGACGTGTGTGTGCCCCAGCTTCAGCTCACTGCCAGCGTGTGAGGAGGCCTCCCACTCCGCCCGATCCTGGCCCTTTCTGCCTGTCATACCTGCTCCCCACCTGAGTCCCCTCTCTTCCCACATCCTGGGCCCAGACCCAGGCCATCTGGCTTCACTCCTCTTTCCCCACAGGACAGGCTCCCCGCTCCTAGTTGGGGCAGATAATGTCCTGGAGCTGCAGATGGACACAGCCAACGAGGGCGAGGGAGCCTATGAAGCAGAGCTGTCCGTGCACCTGCCCCAGGGGGCCCACTACATGCGGGCCCGAAGCAACGTTGAGGTACAGCCCCCACCCTGGGAACAGTACACAGGACCTGGGAGTCACTGGAGCCTTGGCTCTCTCGTCTCCCTCCCTGAGAGTCTCTCTTCTCTTCTGCTTTGCTGTCAAAGATGTAATTTTTTATTTTTTTATTTGAAAGAGGAATACTTGCTAATGGCACAGAATTCCAGAACTCTATTACAAAAACCAGAAAAACAAAAAAGGCTTAGGAACCAAATGTTGACAGGAACCTCTGTTAACATTTGGAGGATTTCCTTCCAGTCTTTTTTTCAATATTGACTGGCACTCACATAAGTATATATTTATTTTTTATGTTGTTAATGTAGTTTATAATAATGGGGTCATACTCTAATGCTTTGTGTTTTTTATTTCCAAAATGAAAATGCATAAAAAGTAATAGTGCTGCAGCAATACACACACTAGCATGTGACAGTCCCTTGAGATCCCATCCCAAGAAACCCCCCTCCCTACCTTGGCACACAAATCTTTCCAGACCTTCCAAGGGAGCTTAAATATATATATATGACGCTGATGCTCTGTAATTTCTTTCTTGAAACTGCTCTCCTGAAGGGCTTTGAGAGACTCATCTGTAACCAGAAGAAAGAGAATGAGACCAGGGTGGTGCTGTGTGAGCTGGGCAATCCCATGAAGAAGAACACCCAGGTGAGGCTGCTGGGTCGTGGTGCCGAGTCTCCACCAGTGGCTCGTGAACAACCAGATTTTAGGGGTGAGGTTTTAGAACCGCATAGTTCTGGGCCAGAATCTTGGACCTCACACTCCCTCGCCCCATGTGCTTGGGTGAGTGACTTTCCCTCTCTGAGCCCCTTTACCCAGTGGGCTTCCAGGTAAAATAGAAATAATAATGGTGGCCTGGCGCGGTGGCTCACGCCTGTAATCCCAGCACACTGGGAGGCCGAGATGGGTGGATCATGAGGTCGGGAGTTCAAGACCAGCCAGGACAACAGCGAAACCCCATCTCTACTAAAAATACAAAAATTACCTGTGCATGGTGGCGCATGCCTATAGTCCCAGCTCCTCAGGAGGCTGAGGCAGGAAAATCACTTGAACCTGAGAGGTGGAGGTTGCAGTGAGCCGAGATCATGCCACTGCACTCCAGCCTGGGTGACAGAGCAAGACTCCATCTCAGAAAAAAGAAAGAAAAGAAAGAATAATGGTGATCTTGAAGGGTGAAGACTGGAGGCCACATTCAGGGCAGAGCTGTCCGAAGTGGAGCATTTGGGCAGTGACCTTGACCCTCCTCATCTCCCAGATAGGAATTGCGATGTTGGTGAGCGTGGGGAATCTGGAAGAGGCTGGGGAGTCTGTGTCCTTCCAGCTGCAGATCCGGAGGTACTGACCCAGCAAGCGTGCCTACCCACCACCCTTCCCCTGTCTGACCCCCGTGCAGAGCCCCTCAGCTCCCTTCCATACAAAAGGGTCTTTTGAGGCCAGGTACGGTGGTGCACACCTGTAATCCCAGCACTTTGCAAGGCCAAGGCAGGCGGATCACTGGAGGTCAGGAGTTGGAGACCAACCTGGCCAACATGGTGAAACCCCATCTCTACTAAAAATATAAAAATTAGCTGGGTGTGGTGGTGTGCACCTACAATCCCAACTACTCAGGAGGCTGAGGCAGGAGAATAGCTTGAACTGAACCTGGGAGGTGGAGGTTGCAGTGAGCTGAGATTGGGCCCCTGCACTCCAGCCTTCCAGCCTGGGTGACAGAGCGAGACTCCGTCTCAAAAAAAAAAAAAAAAAAAAAAGGTCTTTGAAGAAGCCTAGTTCCCTTTCTTCCTCAGAGACTTACATCTGAGTCTTGGAGCCGTAGAGGACGTTCTTTCCCAAGGCCTAACTTCAGTGTGGCATGCTGTTTGTATAATTAGCTTTCTCTGAACTCTCTAAAATTCTGGCCTCACCCTCAGAGAGTCACTGGGCTGGTGTCCCTGGCCCTGTTTCTCCTCATCCCCTCCCCTCTAGCAAGAACAGCCAGAATCCAAACAGCAAGATTGTGCTGCTGGATGTGCCAGTCCGGGCAGAGGCCCAAGTGGAGCTGCGAGGGTGAGAGGCCAGGGGTGGAGAATGGAGGTGGTATTCAGGGCTCTCAACTCCAGGGGGCGCTGGGGAACCCCACAGGCCAGTCAGGGCATCACACTCTCTCTGGGGGTCTTGGGCACCTGCAGGAACTCCTTTCCAGCCTCCCTGGTGGTGGCTGCAGAAGAAGGTGACAGGGAGCAGAACAGCTTGGACAGCCGGGGACCCAAAGTGGAGCACACCTATGAGGTAGGGAGGGGCCTCGCGTCCCGGGCTGGGGTGAGCGAGTCCTTAGAACTCCGGGTGAGGGGCTGAGCTCCCCGCACCCTGCCACCACCACCCCTCCAGCTCCACAACAATGGCCCTGGGACTGTGAATGGCCTTCACCTCAGCATCCACCTCCCGGGGCAGTCCCAGCACTCTGACCTGCTCTACATCCTGGATATACAGCCCCAGGGGGGCCTTCAGTGCTTCCCACAGCCTCCTGTCAACCCCCTCAAGGTGAGAGCTGGGTGGAAGAAAGAGCTGTGAAGGGGGCCCCAGACCAACCACCGGGGCACCTCTGTGGGCTGGGGTTCGGCAGAGACCTGGGCCTGACCACTCCTTTGCCCTACCAGGTGGACTGGGGGCTGCCCACCCCCAGCCCCTCCCCCGTTCACCCGGCCCACCACAAGCGGGATCGCAGACAGATCTTCCTGCCAGAGCCCGAGCAGCCCTCGAGGC